ATATATATGTGTGTGTGTGTGTGTGTGTGTGTGTGTGTGTTTATTAGACCAACATAAGTATTTCATGTTGTACTCTTAGAAATAGAAATAGAAAAGTTTGAAGGAAACAAAAAAYGAACTTAAGTGCAACAACAAAAGATGTTTTGCATGCAGACTCTTGCGTGGTGGTGTTTCTGGTAGAAAAAAATGTTGCTTTTGTTTATGTACTTGCAATTTCAGTAAATTTTGGTTTGCCTTGAAATAATATGAACAGGGGAAAAGTATTTTTAATATTACTTAGAAAAATAACTGCATTGAGTGTCCCCCCCCCTCCCCCCCTTGGAGGTGGTGGCGGGGGGTGTTCCTTTGCGGGCCTGGTGGAAGTCACCTGTAGGCCAGATAAGGACCTCATTTGTGAGCCCACAAGCCACCAGTTGCCCATAGAGACGAAAGTTTAAAATTTAATTTCTTCTCATTTAGATTCCTGCAACAGCCTTTTTTTAACTTGCCTAAACAAATCCTGCTTGGCTCGCCTTCATTCTGTGCTGAACGCTGCAGCGAGGTTATTATCAAAGACCAAAAGAAAAGCTCACATAACTCCTGTTCTGGCCTCTCTGCACCGGCTCCCTGTGCATTTGGGGACTCATTTAAAAATTTGGGTTTTAACCTTGTTAACTTCTGAAACCTTGTTGTCCATCCATGACTTTGAGGTCTTCAAATCAAACGCACCTGGTGGTGCCTCAAACCCATTACAAAACCCATGGAGACAGAGCTTTTCAGGTTCAGGTGGTGGCCCGCGGCTCTGGAACGCTCTGCACAGACACCACTGACTCTTAAGAAACATCTTAAGACATTTTTATTGAGGCAGGTTTTTTAAAGTTTTGTTTTCAGTTTTTTTATAATTATTTTCAAATTGATCTTCATTTTTTTGTGCACTGGTTTATTTGTTTTTAGTTATTTGTTCTCTGTTAAGCACTTTGTGACATTCATATCTGTGGAAGGTACTACATAAGTAAAGTTTACTGACTTAGTTATACATCCCTACCAATCTAAAAAAATCAAAGTGACAGTACAGCAATCTTAAAATTCAACTAAACTCATCTGTGTGACAAACCAGGACTATGAATGACATGACCATTCATCTGCTTCCTAAACATTCTTGAATATGACCTCTTTGGTCTTAGTGGGCTCTGGATCAATTCATGGTCATGCCACTTTATATATTTAAAGGTTTGGTCACTTCGCACCCAGGCTGTTGTGGTTATTAAAAGAAGCCAACCATGATGTGTCTAAATCATAGTATTTACACCAATCTTGATGATTCAATTAATGTACCAGTATGTATACTCTGTGAAATTTTGTCTAATAATCTATAAAAAACACCGTTTGCCTTTTGCTGATAAATGTTGACATATTATATTTGTGTCCATCCGTGGTCAATATGAAACACATCCATCCATCCATCCATCCATCCATCCATCCATCCATTCATCCATCCATCCATCCATCCATCCATCCATTCATCATCCATCCATCATCCATCCATCCATCCATCCATTCATCCATCCATCCATCCATCCATCCATCCGTTATCTTTATCTATTTTTCCCTTCAGGGTTGCTGTTGCCTCTGTCCAGCAGTAACTGTGGGAGAGGCAGTGTACATGCTGGACGGGGCACCTGTATGTTTATACATATTGTAAGCAATTATTCATTACAAATAGGTTATTTTGTTATATATTGTGCAGCCACACACAAAGGTAAGAACACAAAATGCCACCCGCTAAGTATGAAAAAGCATCAACTCTGTATGAGGTCGGAGTACAAAGTGGAGAAAGTCACTGTTTTTGTGTGGCTCTGGCTGCATGTAGCCAAATGAAACAGCCATGCCCTTGAGCAAATGTTTCCAACCAAAAAGGCCATTGCTTTCTCATTACCAGTGGCCAGGGTTTGCAGTCAGTATGTGCACCCCAACATTTTCTTTTCCCAGTGAATTCTATTGGAGGATCAGCTGTTTAAGGAGACCCATTGCTCCGATGCTACCCATCATAAATCATGCTGGTGGGAGGGTAATGGATTTTACCTGTTATACTAGCTAAAGGCACCGAGTCAGCCAATATATCAAATCACACGAGTTGAGAAAATCATTAAATCACCCGTTATCTCTCCACGCTGGCTAAGCAGCAACGAGCACATCCCACAGCAGAGAATGCATGATTTTGGCTGGAAGTAACTGGTGAAAATGCAAGTTTTTACAGCAGTCTGATCAAAATCAGCCTCGSTGTTGCTGAGAATCAGGCAATCCAAGTATTAAATGCAAAAATGATTTTCTTTTTTCCGTTTTTTTTCTCCTGACACAAATCATAATCGCTGAAAATGTGAGGAATTTGCAGCGACGCCTCAGTTAATTACGTGTTCAAGTCCTTTCTGCTGGACCTGTGGAGCAGCCAACTTAAAGAGCACATGTCACCCAGTCAGTCYCTGAGTTGACCGAGTCTGTAGATAGTCTGTCTCCATGGCAACCAGAACAGGCACACATGCTTGGCAATGCAATTACATTGTTCTTCCTTATTAACTACCTCCATTTTGTATGTGAAATGACACGGCACCTTCACATCGCATTAAGCCATGCACATTTCTTTATCATCTTTTTTTACTACTCTATCAAAATAATAAAATAAATAAATTAAACACTCTAGCTTCTCTAAAAACTCTTCAAAACAGTTCAAACCATTTAACATCAAAGATAAATCAAAGATGTCCCTATAGGATATGGATAATGATGATTGTGTTTGACTGTTATTGATTTTGACAGTTAATCAGTGATGAAATACACGATGGCACTTACTTTATATAGTTTTTTTTTTTTTTTCAGCTAAGGAAAAGGTATGTTCTAAAAATTGATCATAGWTTTTTTTGTCACAGATCTTTTGTTGAAACATGTCAGTAATTTTAACCTGAAACATTTGATGCTAAAACAGGATCATTTAAAATTATTTAAAAAACCCAACATTTCGGGTTCGGGTGTGTGCGGCCTCCATTAGGGGGTGGGTACATGTCCTGGACCTGGGGGGTGTAGAGTGTGTTTCGGGGGTATGAGTGGAATGTGGCGTCCTTGTATGTCTTTGACTGAGTGGGGGTGAGGATGAGGGTGGGATGGTGTAATTGTGTATGTTTGGGTATTTGTCAGGCTTCGGTCTGGGCTGCCCCTACTGCTGGTTTATCTGGGGGCCCGCTGCTACTTGGCCCCCAGGGTGGGGTGTGCGGCTGGCCGCCGGCYTGCTGGGGGTTCCCGGGGTCTGGGGCTGGGCGCTGGGGTGTGTGCCGGCCTGGCCTGGTGACTGCCTGTTGGTGTTCGGGGCCTCTGGGCCTGTCGGGCTTTGGCCTGGAGGGGGTGCGCCCTGGGGGCCCGGACCTCTGCGCCCTTTCCTGGATCTGCTTTGGTATGGCGGGTGCCGGTGGGGCCCATGAGTTTGTCGCTGCTGGCCCCGGGGGCTGTGCATGTGGTCGCTGGGGGGACTCTCCCAGTTCTCTCCTATGGTCTGATCTGGGAGGTGGGTGGGCGGATCTTCCCGTGCGGGTGCCCCTTGGGGCTCTGRACTCGGGATTCCTCTCAGGCCCTTGGACTCTGGTCTTCCCTATGTCTGCCTCATGTC